TGCCAAGGGGTCAGGCGGGCCAGGCGCCGGGACAGCTCCTGTTGTTCAGCGGCAGCACCAGTCTGAAACACTCGCTGCCGTCTTTCCAACACGCATGAAGTCCAGCTCGCGGAAATACTAGATTTTAAAACGCGCAAGTTTTGGCAACGTTAAGCCGCGGCTACAGAATTCAGAGGGCAAAGGGGGCGCGCAAAGAGTAAACGTGCTTTTTCTTGTGTGAGATCGTGCAGACCCAGAGACAGCTCAGAACAGGTATGCTAACACAAGCTCCCCAAAAGGTAAGTGCTTCTACAAACATCTGCACCACAAAATGAAGCCCTAAATCTTCGCCTAAAGTACCCACGTACTCTTTTTATTCCCTCTGCCTACCTGTTTGAATAACAAAACCAGCAATAAATAAAACGCCTTTCCAAAGCAGTTAGCAGCTTGATCTTGTAAAAGCAGGTACGATGAAATGGCTCATAATAAAATTACACCAGACTGAAACATCAAAATAAATGTCCAAAGAGGAAAGAGCAGTCAATCATAGCGTATCAAAGGAAACCACTGTCTCTGGTGCCTGTAGTATGGCAGAAGCGTAACAACTTTTACAGCTGTACATAAGCAACCTCAAAGTCCCCTATACCAGGGCATAGCTGGAGTGATGATGTCAGCTGCTTTGCAAATGAAGTTTCTTACTAATCACATTTCTGACCCAGTAAAACGGACCTATTCTATGTTATGAAGCTCCTGCTCAAAGAGCAGTGCTGGGTCAACACCTCAACCAGGTTCAGCCTCTACCAAGGCAACATTCAGAAATAGACACTTGGAATGTTTTGAGGGATGAGAAGCAGAGTTAGGACGATACAGTGCTACACAGGTATCCAAATCTCTCTCAATTACAGCACTTGCTCAAACCCAGCCTTGCCTGCGGCAACCTCATCCTGTTGTCAGCTCCCTCATTACTGCAAACCAGAACTCGTCAGAATGCCGCATTCCTGTTCAACTAGAAAATATTAATACTTATTTGAAGTTATAACAACCTAGTAGGCTATTTGCATTAGTTGACAACTGGTAATTTGCTTGATAATCGTCAGCGGAAGACTAGCAGTAGGTACTCTAAGTGAAGAATGATACTGTAAAAAATAATATAGACATTCATATTCTAATAAGCCATTTCTAATGAGCATGCTAAATGGTAACTGATAATGGTTTTGGTAGGCATAGTCTGTTTGGTTTTGTAATTGGTATACTGAATATACCAGTAAGAGATAATATAAAGATGTTATAAAAATTAAGTTATGCCTGGTGGAGGTCTTTCCTTACTATTAAAGATACCTCTTTGCATATATTCACACAAAATCACAAGGAGAGATTACTCAGCACACTCAACATATACATTCACATCCATTAACTGCTATGAACATTTTGTCACCCGCTCTTATAATCTACTGCCTGTGCCAACCGCTTCCTTCGGTCAGGATGTTGCTGCAGTGTTAAGGATCTCACACCCAACGGGAGAGCAACAAGTAGTACAGCTCTGTACTACTCTGAATAAACTCTGAATAAACATTTTTCCCCCTCAAGATTAATGGACAGCAAATTGAAGTCAGTCATTCGAAATGCCTATGTAAAGGCAGCTCTAGAAATCAGCAATCAGTAAATATTATGTATTAGAAGTCAATGAAGGTGAAATCCAGGGGGTAGAAGTCCAGAGGGTCACAGGACTCAAATTCAGTCTGATTCCCATTGCATGAGCTGCAAGTAAGTATTACAAGACAAAATTACTATGAGAAACAGTCTCACACAAAAAGAAATTCCACTATGTTCCTGAAAAACAAAGAAAAACTTGCTAAGGGCAAATTGACTTAAGAAGACAACCACCATTATTTCACATTCTCCAAAACTTCGTGAATTTTCCCCCCCTCCAGTAATTCTTATTGTCAAAGTCTAATTGGGATGAAAGCTTAGCCTCAGTGTATTTATTTTCTCTCCAAATCATGGTGACACATTTTAATTTTCTTTTTACTGATAACACTTCTTTTGAAATAATGAGAAAGAGAATCTATTGTACGCTGCAGCCTGGCATATATTGGAGAATGGAAGAGTTTACAGTAAACGAAACATGAAATTTGCCACCAGACAGAAAGACAAGGCAATCCATTTAGATAGGAAGAAAAATTAAGGTAACCCTATTACACTGGAGAGTTCCTGCCACATCTAGGAGTCAACAAACACTCGAACTGGACTGACGGCTCTGATGGACCTCTGGGTAGCCACAAGTCAGACAGGCTGCTGTAGCCTCACTGCTCGCCAAAACAGTGGTGGTCAGTGCAGGATCCAGAAGCAACTCAAGACCAGCTGAGCTGCCTGCATCCAGGAAGAGCCTTAAAAATCCAAAGAATTCATCAAGCCAAAAATGCTAATAGATGAGACTGCACATGAAAGCGTGAGTGTGTACACATCTGGTCTACAGAAAAATTTATTAGCCAAAATGCTTATGAGATAGAAAAAGTTAAAACAGAAAATTAGACTTTAAGGCAGCATTGAGATTCTGGTTGATAACAGAGAGACACATGCTCATGTAGAGCTGAGAGACCCCACAAAGCATGACACGAAGAGAGCACAGGGCTGAGGTACTGCAGGCAGCCAGCTACTCTCAGGAACGCGAAAACAAGTCCCACCATTGTGGGAACAGATTATTGTCAGTTCTGTGTCAAACGCCACAGACCCCACACAACACCAGCAGAGGTTCACGTGGGGCTGTGAAGGGCTCGGTGATGGATACACACCACACACAAGACCCTTCATGCCCTGCAGCTGGGCACATCCAACACCGGCACCACGCAGGACCTGTGAGGCAAGCCCAGCCGCCCAGGGGTGTTGACATCTTCTCCTGCTGTGTGATCAGCTGCAGAAGCCCCCAGAAAAGGGCACCCAGAGCCACAGTCCCATAAGCCCCCACCTTCACACAGCAGCCACCTGCTACCGCCCAAACACAAGAAAAAGGCTGTTAATGACTGCCATCTCAGAAGAGATGGTACCTTAACTGAATGCTCTTCCCTGGTCTTGCCTCGTTGAAGAGAGTCTCAACACCAGAACCTCTACTCTGGTGTGTCTCCAAAATAACTGATCAAAGTCTGAAGACTTTAGATCTTTTTTGTTTCATATACAAGCTAAATTTTCATTAGTGAAAGCAGTTCCAACAAATTGCAAAGGGATCCACTGGCTTTTAATCAGGGGTGATTTGATTCAAGCACTGCAAGTATCTTGCCATTCTTACTGCTCAGAGAAAAGCAAGTGGTTTGCATTAAAGCTACCTATAAGTGTTCTTAAAACAATTCTCACATGGACTTTTTATGACTGACTCTCTGCACAGCTGGTCATGGCTTCGGATGGCAGAGATCTTCAACCTCCTAAAATGGATAAAGGGATAGTATTCATACTCATTCTCTTTGCCATGGGCCTGATCAAAAACTCACAGGAATCTCATTTCCTTCAGCTTTCATATGAAGCTGTTGCTGAAAAAAATTCAGTTACTAATACATGCAGAGGTAAACTTGGAGGTTGCCTCTGTGCCATGACAGAAGGGAAGACGCACACACACAGCTTCCCCCTCAGCTGCTGAGCAGTTACAGCTTCTTGCTTGCAGGTGGTTTAGTCAGAGGTGATTCACATTTGTCCATACCTGGATTCTGCAGTGACTCAGGCCCTCTTACCTTTAATGCAGTGCAAATACCAAACATACAAGGATCAGCTTCAGTTCTAACAGACCAGCGTGAGGAACAATCTTTTTTGAAAGTTCAAGTGGTTGCTGCCTCCTTGCTATCCCTATGATACCTTTTTCCTGTCTTGTAGTGCTCTTTGTTACCATATAGTCAATGTTTCAAATCACATTCTAGAACTGGCTATCGTCCTCTGCAAACAAAAAACTAAAATCTACATCCAGTGCATAGGGAATCTGCTTTTATTTGACCTGTAGGCTAAATGCATGCACTCAAAGTTGCACAACCTTTGGAACAGCAGCTTAACGACACCAGTTTATTTGAACAGTGTCAATCACACCTCATTAGAATTACACGTTAAAACACGGATTGATGCCCAAAACTCAGGCTCTGTAAACTGACAAAAGACAGAAAGGAGAGCCCAAGAGTTAGCACTGAAGTTAATAACATCTATCTTGTTCTCTGATGAGCCTGTAAATCAAATCAAATACTCTAACTAGCTAAATACTTTTATATACAGAGAAAATATGTTATCACACAGGCAGGACGCTCCCAAACATTTCCTTATGAGCCCCCTTTTACTAGAAATAAAACCAAATGAAGTGATTCCTCTGTTTAAACCAACCAACCTGATCTGCATTTTACATCAGGGTGGCAAGGTCCGTGTGAGATTACTCACCCAACTGTCCTGGAGGGCAAACTGGAACATTATTCATTGTAAAACCAAATTACAGCATATCCTATCCAATCAATTCTATTCAGGCAGAGATGAGAGAATGAGAAAAAGAACAAGAGACGCCACAGTTTTGTCTGGCTGCTGTATGTCAAGTATTGTAGATCTCTCCTCCATTAATACCTATTTTCTGTTTCCAGCAGGGAAAACATTTTGGAAAAGGTAACAATTTTCGCCATAAACCAGGGACTGTGTAGTAGAACATCACTACAGTCTTCAAAGCAGACTGGTTTGACCCTGAAATGAGCAACTCGCCATCAAAGGATGGAGACAAGAATTTATCTGAATTTAAGAGGTTGCGCCCCTATCAGCAGCTCTGTTCAGCTATCATTTGGTGTGACCCGGGCACTGC